ATCATTTCCCAGAATAACAGGAAAAAATACTGTATAAAGATTTCGCTTCAATCGAGACTTCATTATTGTACAGGTAGCAAATTAAATTCACACACACACACACATACACAGATACACACACATCGGGGCGTCGGTGGCTGTGTGGATAACAAACTGGACACGTAATCCTGTGGCCCGGGTTCGATTCCCGCCGCCGGCGAGAAACAATGGGCAGAGTTTCTTTCACCCTGATGCCCCTGTTACCTAGCAGTAAATAGGTACCTAGGAGCTAGACAGCTGTTACGGGCTGTTTTCTGGGGGGTGAAAAAAATAGTAGTTAGTAACAGTTGATTGACAGTTGAGAGGCCGAAAGAGCAGAGCTCAACCCCCGCAAGCACAACTAGGTGAATACAACTAGGTGAACACATACACACACAAACACACCAGATGCTCCTGTTCACATAGCAGTAAGTAGATAGGTACCTGGGAGTTAGACAGCTGTAAGGACTGCTGCATGGGGATGTGTGTGTGTGTGTGTGTGTGTGTGTGTGTGTGTGTGTGTGTGTGTGTGTGTGTGTGTGTGTGTGTGTGTGTGTGTGTGAGAGAGAGAGAAATTTGTAGTAGATATGACGGAGAAAAAATAGATCGGGAGTCAGAGATGAATTGCGAGGGATGAGGTACGACAAGAGACTGAAGAAACTAAATCTGACGACGCAAGAAAGGATGAGAGTCTGGGCCGGCATACCACGGCGACGGATGGTGGGTCTCGCAGCGTTTCTCCGGTGGACATTTCCGATCCCTTCGAGGGTTTTCAGGACCCGTTGTCTCTTGGCACGCATTCCGATCACGACGATCTCCCGGTCTTGAAGGGGAAGCCCGAGAGTATCTTTCTGGAAAGTAAACATCATAGTAAGGCTAATAGATTGGAGGCGAAACGTCGCCTGCGTCCTGCGGTGCCCTGTGACCGCTGTCTCCACGCCCTCCAATCACCCCCGGTCGGACGAGTTTTACGTACGATGATGAACGTACCTTACGGTACTTACGTACCGTAAGGTACGTTCATCATCGCCTTTGATGTCGATACGCCCGCTGATCGGAGTGTTTTTGGAAATAGTAGGGCACGCAGTCTTTTCTATCAAGTCGTTCCCGAGTTCTTGAAGATCAAGGTGCATGATTTCAGGCCGAATAAACGTAGGAACTAGATCGCTCGTGGACCACGCTTCCTCCGGGGACTTGATGCTTTGAGACGTTACTAATATATGTGGTTACAAGGTTCGTTGTTAAACGCCTCTGGGTGACCGTTTGGTACGATATGTGGTCCGGCATGTTGTTGACGTTAGTGCGGACGACATCAAGGCGCAACTGCAGGATGCTGACATTCCTATCTTTAGTGTCAAGAAAAATATACGTAGAATTGATGTCGACCTAATAGTACCTCCTCCATTACCACTTGATAAACCCCTGATATAACTGTTGATAAACCCCTGTTTCATTACCACTGTTGATAAGTCCCCATTTTAACAAGATATATTACATTTTTTTTTAACGGGGTATAGGCCCCCAAAGCATGGTATTTTTACTTGTCAACTTACGCCATAAATGAGAAGTATTCGTCCCGAGCTCTGCCTACTTCCTAACTTCCACAGTAAAGGAGAAGTATTGGTGTCGGGCGGGATTACTCGCCAGGATGCGTGTGTAAATGTTGTGTCCTGTGCGTTAGGAAGCCTCAGCTGAGCATTGTCCAGGCCAAGTGACGCTCTTATGAGTGAAAGTTCTGGGAATATGAAGCGGAATTCTAACTGTGCGTGGTAACTGTTGTTTGCTGAGGGTGTTTGGGTGCGGGTTTGTTAGTCTGCAGGTTTGTTAGTCGGAGAGTCTGTTAGTCTGCGGGTTGGTTAGTCTATAATTTGTGGGCGCGCTAATGTGAGAGTCAGTAATCTTGCCTAATATTCGATGAGATAAAAGGAATAAACTCTCATATTAAGATGTTTAAGAACCCTCATTTTTGCCCCTTGAGACCAAGAATGTGGAGACAGTTACTCCAGTGTGTAAAGAATGTTGGCTTGATGTTAGCGTTCCAGCCACGTCTTAGGAGGAGGAGGAGGAGCGTCTTGGAATGTCAGTCTGGAGCATAATTCTTGCATTCTTTACCTTCAATAAACGTAAAGTTGGGAAGTCCAACGGCCAGCAGTATGTCGCGTCCCTCCTCTCCTCTCCCTATGGTCCCCTTTACTGATTCCACTCACCTGGGCTATGGGAGACTCGAACCGCCGGCCCCATGCGTGTGAAGCCGAAGCTCTACTTCCGTTGTTGTTGTTGTTTTTAGATTCAGCTACTCGGAACAAAAGTTCCAAGTAGCACGGGCTATGGTGAGCCCGTTGTGAACTTACCTGGCACAGGAACAGGGAGGGTGTAACTCTTGCTCTACTTCCCTTTACTGACGTTTATCACCCAACAGTGTACATCACCTCTCTCCCCCCCCCCTCCAATCTCTCCCTGCTCCCAATCTCTCCCTGCCCCCAATCTCTCCCTGCCTCCAATCTCTCCCTGCCCCCAATCTCTCCCTGCCCCCAATCTTTCCCTGCCCCAATCTCTCCCTGCCCCAATATCTCCCTGCCCCCAATATCTCCCTGCCCCCAATCTCTCCCTGCCCCCAATCTCTCCCTGCCCCCAATCTCTCCCTGCCCCCAATCTCTCCCTGCCCCCAATCTCTCCCTGCCCCAATCTCTCCCTGCCCCCAATATCTCCCTGCCCCCAATCTCTCCCTGCCCCCAATCTCTCCCTGCCTCCAATCTCTCCCTGCCCCCAATATCTCCCTGCCCCCAATATCTCCCTGCCCCCAATCTCTCCCTGCCCCCAATCTCTCCCTGCCCCCAATCTCTCCCTACCTACCTCACTTATATCACCTGATGTAGTTTTTTTTTTTTTGTTCAACCCATCCTCCTGTTTAGATAGTAGTTTTTGTAACTATGTGCACCATAGTACAAATATTGACATACTAAGCAATTAGATCTTAGAACTTTGTACTGCCATTTTATAAGAGTCCAAAATAATGAAGCTAAAAAAACAAACTTAAATATAGCACATATATGTACTATATTAGACCTCAGATAGTGTGCATTAGGCCTAGGAAGGTTTGGTTAGTTTAGTTTACTTTGTCTTTGCAACATAAGTTGAAAACTCTTTTTCCGGATTCTCCAAATTCAATAGTACCGATTTCTACTTTCTAATTGCTTTTGTACGTCGGTATATGTACTATGGTCCTCATCCTTCTAATAAGTACTTTCAAAACAGGAGAATGAGCTGGCAAATTAAGACAATGTTCATTGATCAGAATGGGAAGGGGGATCGAGATTGCATTAAGTATAGGACAGGTATGATCACTGACTATCTAATGTTCGTGCGAGGATTGACGCTGATTCCAGATTGTAACACGACACACGACCGCTCTGGCGTTTGTGTACAGACAGAGAAAGAGAGAGAGAGAGAGAGAGAGAGAGAGAGAGAGAGAGAGAGAGAGAGAGAGAGAGAGAGAGAGAGAGAGAGAGAGAGAGGGAGAGAGACAGAGACAGAGACAGACAGAGACAGACAGACAGACAGAGACAGACAGACAGACAGAGACAGACAGACAGAGACAGACAGAGACAGACAGAGACAGACAGACAGAGACAGACAGACAGAGACAGACAGACAGACAGACAGAGACAGACAGACAGAGACAGACAGACAGACAGAGACAGACAGACAGAGACAGACAGACAGACAGACAGACAGACAGACAGACAGACAGACAGACAGACAGACAGACAGACAGACAGGCAGGCGTCCCGCGGGGCCTCTGGTTGGCCCTTGGAGCCATGTCGCTTCTTTTAGGATTATTTTCTCCCGGTTGACAGCAATTAGTTTGAGATAAAGTTTATTTATAGGATTAAGCTAATAGTGATTTGAAGATGATTAAGTATTTATATATAATTAGATATTCCTTTATGAAGGGAATGTGACATCACGGAGTCGACGTGACTTTGCTGTTTCAACGATCTATTGTGGGCAGCCGCCGGTAGCTGGCGTTCTTATGATGAACCCATGTGGTTAGGCTATTTATAGTACTGGTAAGGGACACACGTGGTCTATTGTCCATGAGGCCTATGTGCTATACCCACATGCATGATTAATATTGATATTGATAAGACTGATACAGCCCGCTTATCTTGCCAGCTGGCGTGGCAAGCCAGATGGATAATACATTCTTGGGCTTCAACAGCAAGATGGTCTTTAATTTGTTATTTGTTTGGGCCAGCAGAAGGGAATAGCCAAGTGCAGAATTGATCACGTTGGGTTTGTCCTGGAGAAGTGGGTTAGGCGCCTGACAGCTGGGTGGACAGCGCTTCGGATTCGTAGTCCTGAGGTTCCGGGTTCGATCCCCGGTGGAGGCGGAGACAAATGGGCAAAATGTTTCTTTCACCCAGATGCCCCCTGTTACCTAGCAGTAAATAGGTACCTGGGAGTTAGATAGCTGCTACGGGCTGCTTCCTGGGGGTGGAGGCCTGGTCGAGGACCGGGCCGCGGGGACACTAAAGCCCCAAAATCATCTCAAGATAAGGAGGGTGGAGGGCAGAGGAAACTAGGGGAAGTAGGGGTGGGATTTCAGGTCAGGGGTCAATCAGTGAGTGCAGGAGCTCAGGTCAGGGGTCACTCAGGAGCTCAGAGGTCAATGTATCTCGACCGCGAAAACGACAGAGACTTCAAGCATTCTTACTGACTTCCGCGATCACCAAATAAATCATCTTTCGGAAAATAGTGCCTGTTACCCCTCGTGTGGTCGGAACAATAGTGGAATTACTCCTTTTTGGGGGGAGGAGGGGGGGGTGAAGAGGCCCACGATGGGGTGGAATTATCCCCTTGGGTGGGGGGGGGGAGAAGTTCTAAGCCATAATACAATAGAGTTATCTCTCGATACCACCCATTTTCTTTGAATTTGTTGCATTATCAATCTATGTAACTGCAAATCGTTGCTTCGTTAAATGATTGCATCATTGTTTCTTGATGGGAGGTTGTGTGTCATTGTTCTTGCATCATACCTGCCGGAGGGTGTGGGAGGACCTACGACACACCTGCCGGAGGGTGTGGGCGGACCTACATCATACCTGCCGGAGGGTGTGGGAGGACCTACATCATACCTGCTGGAGGGTGTGGGAGGACCTACGACACACCTGCCGGAGGGTGTGGGAGGACCTACGACACACCTGCCGGAGGGTGTGGGAGGACCTACACCACACCTGCCGGAGGGTGTGGGAGGACCTACACCATACCTGCCGGAGGGTGTGGGAGGACCTACACCACACCTGCCGGAGGGTGTGGGAGGACCTACACCACACCTGCCGGAGGGTGTGGGAGGACCTACACCATACCTGACGTAGGACCGGAGGTTTCCTATTTCCTTCCTGGTGTAGGACAGGGAGACACCCTGCACGCCTGATGTAGGACAGGGGGACACCCTGCACGCCAGGGTGTAGGACAGAGGGACACCCTGCACGCCTGATGTAGGACAGAGGGACACCCTGCACGCCTGGTGTAGGACAGGGAGACACCCTGCACGCCTGGTGTAGGACAGGGAGACACCCTGCACGCCTGGTGTAGGACAGGGGGACACCCTGCACGCCTGGTGTAGGACAGGGGGACACCCTGCACGCCTGGTGTAGGACAGGGGGACACCCTGCACGCCTGGTGTAGGACAAGGGGACACCCTGCACGCCAGGGTGTAGGACAGGGGGACACCCTGCACGCCAGGGTGTAGGACAGAGGGACACCCTGCACGCCTGGTGTAGGACAGAGGGACACTCTGCACGCCTGGTGTAGGACAGGGGGACACCCTGCTCGCCAGGGTGTAGGACAGAGGGACACCCTGCACGCCTGGTGTAGGACAGGGGGACACCCTGCACGCCTGGTGTAGGACAGGGGGACACCCTGCACGCCAGGGTGTAGGACAGGGGTACACCCTGCACGCCTGGTGTAGGACAGGGGGACACCCTGCACGCCAGGGTGTAGGACAGGGGGACACCCTGCACGCCTGGTGTAGGACAGGGGGACACCCTGCACGCCTGGTGTAGGACAGGGGGGGGACACCCTGCACGCCTGGTGTAGGACAGGGAGACACCCTGCACGTCAGGGTGTTCAGTAAGACACATTATCTAAGATCACCGCAAAGATTGCAAGAGTGCCATCCACCTTAATATTCAGATCATGCACCAATTTGCACCAATTAAACAAACTAAAAACATCACAGCGCTGCATAAAAACGTATCCACAAGTAAAAAAACCTCCTCCCTCATAAATATTCCCGGCGGTGTCTAGGGAGAATATCAAGTATTAATGCCAGACTAGTGAGGACCACACACACACCTGCACACACACACACCTGCACGGATATTAACTGGCCACGTGCTGGTGTGGACGCGGGTTCTAAGGGCGATGTGGCCCACGTGCTGGTGTGGACGCGGGTTCTAAGGGCGATGTGGCCCACGTGCTGGTGTGGACGCGGGTTCTAAGGGTGATGTGGCCCACGTGCTGGTGTGGACGCGGGTTCTAAGGGCGATGTGGCCCACGAGCTGGCGAGGACGCGGGTTCTAAGGGCGATGTGGTCCACGTGCTGGTGTGGACGCGGGTTCTAAGGGCGATGTGGCCCACGAGCTGGCGAGGACGCGGGTTCTAAGGGCGATGTGGTCCACGTGCTGGTGTGGACGCGGGTTCTAAGGGCGATGTGGCCCACGTGCTGGTGTGGACGCGGGTTCTAAGGGTGATGTGGTCCACGTGCTGTTGTGGACGTGATACTCAGAGTGACTTGATGTCTGGGGATCAGCCATGTGTCTAGACACACGCCCCCTCATCCTGTCACTCTGATGTGTCTAGACAACAGACACGATCGACACGGGGTTAGGGAGGGAAAGACCAGATACACCAGGGCTTGTAGAGCGCGAGATACAGACAGGCTTGTGGTCAGTGTCACAATAAACACGGGCTTCAGGACACAGACACGGGCTGGCGACGCGACACATCGAACACATACAGACTAGGAACAGCAATACGAACAAGCCCGCTATAAGCCCCAATGGTGCTTTTTATAGAATTAATCTCGGGTATGTTGGCAGCGTGCGTGCTGTCCGGTAATTAAAATCTCATTAGGTGACCGACGCCACCCAGCGGGCTTCGGAGGACCTCTGTAATACAAAAAAAAATTACTGCAGCGCATCAGTGGCTCTTGGTTTCGCCTTCAGCAATAGGTTAAAAAGGCAATTGTAATGCGATTTTTCGCTTATGTTTGTTCTCTTAATCAAGGACTATAATTTGTATATGGAGAGAGGGAGACAGAATGGGAGTAGAAATTAACTGATATGAAATGCGGAAATTTAAAACTAAATTGTTCGAATTTTTTCATTGGCTTGTTAACCCGGAAATTAACTAATACAGGTCACTTTCGTAAGTTTTTTGTTGTTCCAAATTAATTGTTGGTATACGTCAACAATTAGCTAATGGGAGCATTTCCTTTTTTTTTTTTATATATTTTATTTCCGTGCTTTTTGTTTGCTAAGTTCTGAATAACAGTAGTTCATTCCACATTGGCCCTGGACAATTGCCAATGCGTGCCAGCAACGTAGGTCAGACAAAGGTTCCCGCAAGGCAACGTCGACAACATTGCCTGCATGTTGGTCCTCGTTTACAACTTGTGAATTGGTGGGAGATATCTTACTGAAGCACTTAGGTTTCACTGAAGCAAATAGTCAGATATTCTTGTAGTTTCTTCTTCCGACTAAATTCCCTAAATAATTCAGAGAGAATTAGTTGGAGAGTAATTCATAACCCGTGGGTTCGTTCCCCAATAATATGGGGAATAATAACTCTCAAACAGACCCACTACAAATATTAGTTAACAATTTCCAGGGAATTCTTAAACAAATTTTCATGTGAATACAGTTTCCAGGACATATAAAGCACGTCTTTTAGCACTGGAAGCCCCTCATGTTGGGGATTTCCTGTTAGCTGTCCCAAATTGTTATCTGGACACACGTTTCGACCATCAGTCCCTCAGTATTGGTCTTGCCCTTTGCCTTGCTGCCCCTGTCACCCCGAGCACAGGTGTATCCACGGTAATACCCCAGCAGACCAACAGGACCTCGGTGATCACGTCTCTGGTCGAGGCAGCCACTGACACCGTTTAGAGAAGTTTGGCGACAGTAGAGTATCCAGTACAATGGAAACCCTAAAAGTGGGAGACCTAACGGAAATCAGAAACGTCTTGATAGGATCCTCCTGTGAACGTGAAGGAAGAGTGAACAGGTTGTCTTGCACTCTTGCCAGTTGTCAATTCCCTAGCTGTCATGAGCGTGTGTCTGGGAACACCCAGCGCATAGATTCGAATCCTCATCACAGCTCCTGTGGAGTTATTATTATTATTATTATTATTATTATTATCATCTATAAAGGAAATGCCTGCAGACCTCCCACCTCGGAGGAGCTGGAGGTGGTTTATGGACAGTAATTTCCACTTATGTATATTGTAAACTGCCACAAATGTATAATATATAAATATATAATAATCAGTAGCACTGGTGGGGGCTCGAACCTCTGCTTGTGCCATATAAAGTATTCTTCTGCCAACCAAAAGTGTAACAGTGTATTTCGTAATTCCTAAACACTGTAGCAATAATGTTATCAAATATTAAATTCCAATGATCAAAACGTTGGCCAATAGCATTTCCTATCTGGTAACGTGTTGACCGAAGTATATTATTCACTAAATAATTGTTTTACTTCTCGACTACATACGTTAAATTCAACACCCAGAAAAATATGCTCACCCTTTCCCAACGTGATCAATACTTTTTTCTTCCATGAGAAGAGGAATCGTTAAATCCAGAGTTGAGTAGAAAACGCAAATTGAAATGGACTGGAGGTAATAAGTTGACGTTGGCTAGGCAGTAGACGGATATTGGGGGATCAATTTTGTAGAGAACTGCTACACAGGGATTGCTTTCATGCCACCAGTCTATCTGTGGGTATTGTGTGTCCTACACATGTCTATCCTTTGGACACGGGTGTCCTGGAGCTGTCTGTCCATGGAGGAAGCGTGTGCTGCCTCTGTGCTTGCTCGGAGAAGGGTCTCTGTGCTTGTCTGTCAGTCAAGTGAGAAGCAGCAAGGGATTACACCCTCGAGTGTACTTAGGGACGCATGCCAGTATCTTCCGAGGATGTTTATACTGCCACCCTCCCACGGAGGTGTGCCGTACCCTCCCACGGGGGGTGCCGTACCCTCCCACGGGGGGTGCCATACCCTCCCACGGAGGTGTGCCATACCCTCCCACGGGGGGTGCCATACCCTTCCACGGGAGAGCGTGCCCCACCGTCCAAGACAGCCAGACAACGGTAATATAACATTAAACCCAATTTCATGGAAGTTACCTCGATTCATAACTTCAAGAGTAAGTTTTAAAGAGTATTTGAGCGCCAGTAATATATAAATTACCAGTTCCATTGGCCGAAAAGACGGAACCCAAGAGCTATATCTCGCCCCCATGTCAGTACAGTTAAGTATATACACAGATACAGGTTCGTGCTCCCTCTATTGAGTCTCCTCTCTAAGAGCCTCTTATAATATTTAATGCTACGTAATAAATTATATTACATATGTTTTAAAGAGTACATGGAAACTAAGAGGCAGACAGACAGAGGCAGAGGCAGACAGAGGCAGACAGAGAGAGAGAGAGAGCAAAAGTTCCTCATTAACTCTACACATGAGTCAAAGGCTTTCACAGCACTGCCTTTGTCATAGTGTCTGCGATAATTGCCGTTCATACTCTCTTTTACATTGCAAAAATATGCAGTTTCTAGTCTGCCTCGCGCCAGAGTCGGGAGCTGCTGGCTGGCCTCACCACGTTAAATATTGCCTCTGGACCTTTGTCTCTGTTGATTGTCTCAGAGTCTCACCGGACTCACTCTGCAAGCTTGTAGGACGGAGAGAGAGAGAGAGAGAGGGAGGGAGAGGGAGGGAGAGAGAGAGAGAGAGAGAGAGAGAGAGAGAGAGAGAGAGAGAGAGAGAGAATGAGAGTTTTGTTAAAAATATTTCCTGACTTACAACGTCGCATTTTCGGCGACTGTACCCCGGTATTCAGACAAAGGACTTCCAGTAGATGTTGTATACTGGGACCTCTCTAAAGATTTTCATAAGGCATTACGTGAATGGCAAGGAAATTACATTCGCGTGGAATAAATGGTGGACTGGATAACAAATGATTAAAGCAAAGGGTCGTTCTAAATGGAAATTAATCTAACTGGAAAAATTTAGTGAGTGGGGGGATGTCCCATTTTGGGGGACAATCCTTTTTTGTCAAATGCATCAATGACATAGGTGAGAATATTGCAAGCC